AAATCTTTGAAACCTTTCCACCTGATGTCTTGTTATCGCTAAAGTTGAGATGTTCTACACTGGCACCATAAAAAAAAAAAAAAAAAAGTCTTTTTTAGCCTTCAAACACTTAGAAAATAATAAAAACAACTAAAGACGACTGTGGTTTACGTCTTTGTAGCATACAAAAATATCTATTTCATTCCAGTATCTTAAATTCTCCCTTAATCTCTCAAACCCCTATGAATAAAGCATTGGATTACCAAGTAATACCCTTCATCAGAAGGAATTAGGCACTTCAGCTTTAGGCTCCATGTAAACCATTGCATTAAGAGAGATGTGACTGACGTCATGTTTTCCAAGTTGCAGTTGACTCACATGGTGCCTTCCCTTGCCCTTTAAGAGCTTCCTGAGATCAAATGTGTCTCTCATGACTCTCCTAATTCTCTCTTCTTGGGTGGCTTTGAGGCACTAGCAGGCATATGGTTTTGTAGCAAAGAGACAAGAGTAGGAAACTTAGTTGCTCTTCGTGTGCGTGCCAGTGAGTCTGTAACAGAGCTTTGGCAAATTGTGCGATTTCCTTCATCTGTAAGATTAATAAATTAGGATAATATTTTACTTGCAAGAAGAGTATTTTTAATTAGAGCCTTGATGTGCTGATGTCTTCTCTCTGCAGTATGCAGAAATTTAAAGGACATCCATCGTATGGTTCCATCCTTCCTTTTCTCCAGCTATCGTATTTTAAAGCTTGCTGTGGTACCAGAGTTTTTGTACTGCTGTATCATTAGTTCTGAGAATTCTATTAGAATTCATAGAATAAAATGGATGGAATGTGCCTCTGTACTCAAATCCCTATTTGTGTGTCCCCACGTCAGCTGGCTAGCAATGAGGAATGCAGCTGGCACCTGGTCAAAAACCCTCCCGCAAATTCCTGGTTTTCAAAGGTAGGATCCCTGTTTAAGGCAGAGGAAATGTAGGAGTCACCAATCATTCAGTCCTTAGTGTTTACAAAGAATTACATTCTTGGTAAACGTTGTTAAAAGAGACCTCAGTCTGAACCAATTTGCTTTATGACATGTGCTGTGTAATCTTATCCCGTGAAAGGATTTCCGATTGCATTAATTTTTCTTCCTTTTTTACTAATACATATTGTAGTATGCTGTAGCTACAGTAAGCATGAATTCCTTAGATTTAGTATGTCCCCATAATCTGGATAACTGCTTTTGTGAAGCCATTTTAGTTGAGCATTTTATGGTTTGCTGGACAGCTGTTTGTCTTGTAGGTTACTGATGCTACAGTTCATAACAGAACCAGCATGAGTTACGTTGGATTTTTCTTTTTTACTTCATCACATCATCAAGTAGGTGTTGACTCCTCTTATTTACAAAATTGTCACTTGATGTCAAGTTTCCCTAGGAGTTGTAACACCCACTTAAGAAAATACTTATCTATAGAAGACCTAATTAGACAAATTATTATGAATCCATTGTGGTTCTGCAATTTTTTCTGGTGTGTTATTTTAAAATAGTAGAAGTTCAATTGACCTTATAGTCTGCAATACAACTGCAGCTTTCACCAGAAAGGTCATTAGCCTGAAAGTTGGAATATAACCTCACGTCATGTACCCCAAACAACAGTGTTCCATTTAGCCTTGGCACTGTTGTATACAAGAATCTTTATGGTCTGCTGAGTGATTATGTAAACAGGCAGGGATTTTATAAAGCATTTTAAGCATCCAATAGAACAGAATAATTGCTTTATAGTTTTTTCTTGTCTAATGGTAATTACATAATTGGACAGGTTTTAAGATATTTTTTTCTATCTGATACGTAGATGCCAGACTCTCTTTTGAGCATTCTTACTAAAGAGTCCTAAAAATCATTCAGGAAAACAAATCTGCTAGGCTTCCTCCTATTATCAACATCCCAAAATGCTTTCAGCAATGAGTAAATGCCAAGTATTTGTTGTTTGGCACTTGACTAGTCACTCATTTACTTAAACTCAAACATGTTGCATAAGATTGTGAAAGTTATGTGAAGCTAATTATTAAAAAGAAGAAAAATAACCTCCCTTGATCCAGCCTTTCCAGTTTCTGTGTAAATAGTGCCATCAGGGTGAAAATAGACAGGACCATATATCCCATTAAATGCAACCGACTGCCTGGTGTTGGCAAAATGTGCAGTTGACAGTGAGCAATTGCAGGGGTGTTATTCTTACACTCGGAAGGCGAGGTGTTTGTTGCTCCTTTTTATTCTATCCTTCCACCCCCCACCTCTCCTTTATAGTGTATAGACAGGTTTTGGCGATCTTTTCTTGATACCAGTACATGCATATTACTTAAGCATTGTTTGCTGTCTTACAGATCTTATGTAGGATCTGAAAGATACAGCTTTCCCTCCATGCCCAGGACACAGTAGTTAAAAGCAGGTTTGTACTGTGGAACTGCCATCCTTTTTAATGCATGTGCTTCCTGACTCTTCCTTCTCTATAGTATTTGGGTACCATCAACTTGGTTTTGCTTTTGAAGGTCGTTTATAATCTTGTCCCCACCCAACCTGATTTTTCTCATTCTATTTTAGAATTTGATTCCTATCTGTAGTCAGTTTTTGTCAGGAGCCACTGTCGCCATCTTACTAGATTTTTCAGACTATCATTTTACTTGCTTGCCTCAGGGTTGCCTTTCACTTCCGGGAAGAAATACCTGCAAAACTATCTTATCTTCGTCTGTTCCTTTATTAAAATTCTTCTTTGCCATGGGGCCTACCTTAAATGTATGGCTGCAGATCTGATGTGCTATGACTACTTAGTCCTGCTGGTTGGGAATCTAGACCGAGGGAAGAATTTTCTTACCATTAATAAACAAAAAATATGTGTGGTAAAAAGAGAGCTAGTTAAGCCATGTATTTTAATGCCTTACTTAGCGGTTCTGACCTGTACAGTATACTCTGTGTTGGCAGTCTGGTATTGCATGTGTACCACAATTAAAAGTTTGATGACAATAGGAACATAAAGCAGTTGCAAGGGCGTGGTTTGAAGGAGCAGAAATATAAAAGGTGAGAGAAAATTGAAGAATTGCGTTTTTATTCTGATTCTGAGGTAGCATTACTTTGTAAAACTGTATTTCTCTCTTCTATGTCCTATATCATGGTTTTATTAGCTATTAAATAGAAATAAAAATGCCCTTTTGACTCTGGGTGCCCTGCATAATGTTTAAAATACACATCAAACTACTATTTCCTTAATTTTATCTCCCTAAGAGCCGCAAATTTTAATTGAACTTATGCCAATAAATATTTGTATGTAATCTGCATCTCTCCAAGATGTCAAAAATAAAGATGGGTTTTGAAGCATGGTCCATTGTACATCCTTGCTTTTGCTTGTTTGATGAATGGTTTTTATCCAGTTTTTTTATCTTATTTATGTTCTAGGTTTGAAAATTGAAACATTATAAATGGGAATTCTGCCTTCATCAGTCATTTAGCTTTGCTCCTCTTACTAGATAATGTCATAGTTCCAGTTTACGGAGAGTGACATTGCATTCATTGGTGATACCATTCTCAAGGTTGATAAAATTTGATTAATGTGAGTACTTGGGTTTTTAAAAATATTTACATTTCATATTACCAAAACCTGTGTTAGAACCTCAACTTACTACAAGTTGTTGAAGTGACTTAAATTACTTTAAAAAAGTGTGTAAGCTGTATGTATACTGCCAAGCTTTTTTCATAAGATCAGGCACCTAAAAATTTGATGTCTTTAGTTAATCATGACATTTGCTAAATACCTTGGGTCAGAATTTCCCAACTAGGAAGACAACGTTTGAAAGACATCTGTCTTCAGAGGAAAGACCTGAAACTGTTTTTCTTATTTCATATATTCAATTAGTATTGTTTCCTTCAAAGCTGAAAGTTGGAATTTAAAAACAATGACGTTAATTATGATTAAGTTATATTTTGCTTAATATTGACTATATGTGAGAAACCTTTAAGAGGAAATTATATCAGGAGTGTTTGTGGGCTGTAGCTGAATGAAACTGAACGGCAGCTTGAAATAAATAATGAGTATTAAAGACCTAAATATTAAACCAAAGTAGTTTGACTTACTGTTTTTAATAAAGTAAAAAATAAAAATTTGAAACCATATTCAAGAGTATTTTAATTGATTTAAATAAATCCACTTTGCTTTAAAGCACAGCGAAGCAAATAATATTTTATAGTGAATGAATGTTTTCTGCTCTTAAATACAAAGTGCCTTTGCCATTGTACCTCCATCACATCACTTTTCTTTTTTTAAGGACTTTGGCAATTCAAGCCAATTTAACTTCAGCCATAAAGTACTAGATGTAATAGTCTCTTAGAGATAACTGTTAAACAGTATTTGCAAGGTTCTGAAAAGAGCTAATATAAATAAATATAAGTGTTAGTGTGAATGGATTATAAAATAAACTCCAAACTGTATTTCACAATGTAAGGCCTAAAATTCGTAATAGAAATGTGTTTCATGATAACATTAGTTATGTGCATTAAATGGTCAACGTACTGATTTCATTTGCAGAAATACTGGTCCCTTGTTGTTGGAGTTGCCCTAGATCCATAGTCTTCAAGAGACTACCAAAATGCTGAATTAAACAAAAGGAGGGAAATAATTTAGACTGTAAAGTAAAATTGGTATGAGAATATCTGCTTTAAACTTCTAGTAACTGTTACATATGTCTTGTGTTTTTTGTTTTTACAGATTTCCTTTTTGCCTCTGGAGCGTTTCGTTATGGCAGCCTCCAGTGAACAATGACATCCTTTGACAAATATAAATGCCAAAAAGCCAGACGAAAACAGTGGCCTTGTTTCATTTCTACTCCAACACAGTGAAATGGTGCTCTTAAAGTTTTGTTATTGACTCTGACTGGAAAAAAACAAACTCCTGACTGGACCTTTTTTCCCCAGCCCTCTCCCAGTGTTCTTATGGATGCTTGACACAGTGACATCATGTAGTAGGTCCTGAAGTGTTGTCATAATTAAGTTGCAATGGTTTTATACACTTCTCCATTTCCCAACAGCTTTCTGTCAGTTCTGCATTCTTTTTCCTGGGGCTTGATTTTCCCATGTTACTGGTTAGCAGATAGGCTTGTGGCCTCCTTTGTTCCAACCACCTATGAAAAACGTCAAAGAGCAGATGATCCATGCTATTTTCATGCACTCTGCATCATTATTACCACTCCCATCTACTTGGCACTGTTGGTAGCCTCTCTTCCTTTTGCGCTGATTGGCTTCTTGTTGTGGTCCCCACTCCAGTCAGCCAGAAGGCCATATATCTACTCCAGACTAGAAGACAAGAACCATGCCAACGGAGCCACACTGCTCACTGAATGGAAGGCTGCAGGGAATGGGAAAAGCTTCTGCTTTGGCAGTGCCAATGTTTGCCTGCTGCCAGATTCTCTGGCAAGATTTAATAATGTTTTCAATACGCAGGCTAGAGCTAAAGAGATTGGACGGAGGATCCGAAACGGGGCAAGCAGACCACAGATCAAAATATATATAGATTCTCCTACCAATACATCCATCAGTGCTGCAAGCTTTAGCAGCTTGGCCTCCCCCCAGGGTGGAGATAACACTAATCGTACTGTTAATGCTGGCATCAAAAGGACAACATCAATGGAGTATAAAGGAGACAATTCTGGCTCAAACAACACTGAGGACAGCAGAGAAGATAAAAGTGGAGCTGGAGAGCCAAATGAGGGAGAAGAAAACACTTGCATTGTCCGCATAAATGGAGAGGATAATGGCCACATGTCAGACACAGAAACAGATACCATCAATGGCCTGGCTCATGCCAGCGGCCCAGCGGAGCCCTCACTGGAAGGTGACACAGAGATCTCAAGAACACCTAACCACAGAGAGAAGGAAGGAGATTCTGGCAGTTTAGACAGCTACTCTGCCTCACGAGAGTCCTTAGTTAAAGTTCGTGTTGGAGATGGTACAGTGGACCAAAGCACTGTCAACAACAAGCTCCTCTATAAAGCTTCAATCATGAAGAAGACTTCAGTGCGGAAAAAGAAGCATACAGATGAGACCTTTGATCATGAGATTTCTGCTTTCTTTCCTGCCAACTTGGACTTTCTGTGTTTGCAGGAAGTGTTCGACAAAAGAGCTGCCGAGAAATTGAAAGAGCAGCTTCATCACTATTTTGAATACATTGTCTATGATGTTGGGGTCTATAGTTGCCATGGCTGCTGTAGCTTTAAGTTTGTGAACAGTGGTCTACTTTTTGCCAGCCGCTATCCTGTTATGGATGCTGCCTATCACTGTTACCCCAATGGAAGAGGAACAGACTCCTTGGCTTCCAAGGGAGCCTTGTTTCTCAAGGTAAGAGCCTTTTTGAAGCCATAAATACTGATTCCATAGATGTGACAAGTTATAAAGTTACGTTATTTTCTCTGTCATTTCTGTTAGAGTTCAAAGAGGCAATATTCAGGTCTAGGTTACCTGATATAACCTGTATGTGGGTTTTGTGGTCGAGATACTCTGTTAAAGTGATGGATGTGCGTGAAATAATGAGAGACTTCTGGAGGTAGGACTTGAGTATGATTTGAAGTGCCAAAATTTGAAGTAGTTTTTTAGTTTCTTTTTTACAGAAATAATCTTTGATAAAATGCACAAATTCTAAGGTTCATAACATGAGCATAGTACAATGCCACTGTTGCAAACCAGTTTGTGTATTTATGCAGGCATCAACAGTCTAAATGCCAGCAGAATAAAACTGAAAGAATTGCAATGAAATGTGTGGCTATGACTCTGTCTTGGTTGCAAAAGAATTGTTAAGGTGAGATACGAATAAACAAACAAAAAAAAAAAGCCTGGGACACTGGGGAGCACAGAGGATTTTCACTTAATTTAAGTACACTCTGTTAACAAACTAATGGTAGTGAGAACAGGAAGCCTGGGGTTGTACTTCTGTAAATCATAAAAAGCAAAAATAAAAGTCTACGTGCAATGATTTGCTTTTTCAAGACTGGTGGCTGTTCATGCTTAATTCTTGGGCGAATCTGGCTGTGTTCTTCATAAACTGGAAAGCAAGCTCTTCTAATTTGTGATTAGTCAAGAACCAAAGCTTTGTGCAGAGATCCGAATCTGTGGACCCAAACCTAGACACATCTGAAAATCTCCTAGGACACTGGATTTCAGATTTTTTGGGGGTTTTTTTTGGTCACAGTTTGGAATGGGTTTCACTAACTAAAAATTGAACTTTTTTTTCCTAATGCTACCAAAATACATTAGGTCCTCAAATTATATGTACTTGCTAAAGCATATGCTCACAAGTCCGCAACAAAAGCCATTAGTAGCCATTAAGAATATGGATTGTTAATAAGTATCAGTGGTGGTTTTTTGAGCCCACTGTTTGTAATTTGTAAACAAAGCAAAAACTTGTGGTATTGTGGTTTGCATAAAAAAAGCACAAGTATTAGAATTTGCAGTCTGATATTAGTCCAGTATTTCATTTATGTTTGACATAAACAAAAGCCTCTCCGTATCTGAATACAGCTTTCAAAAAATTTGGTCTAAGCTTTCCATACTGTACTCTTAAGTGTTTATAAACATCTAAAAGTTTATTTTTTTTCTTCATAAAGTTCTGCATGCAAAAAATGGACATACATATTGTGCAGTATAAATATTACCAGGGTCATAAAGACACCCTTCAATATAGGCATATATTAGGGATTAAGAGATTAAAAACAATCTGCTTTCAGTTGCCCATTGCTGAGTCATTTATTTGTTACCCTGCTAGGTAGGCTGCGATGTCTCCATTTCTCTTGCAGAAAATTAAGTCTCTCTTCAAAATTCCACTGGGATGATGAACTTAATTATGGATTCACATCATAAAATAATGTTACAGTGGAGCAGGGAATAGGGACCAATTATTATGAAGATTCAGAGGACTACATTCTTTTAAATATGACAGAATTATGGCCCAGCTAAAAGACCTTTTTTCCTCATGTCTGTGTCATTCTGACATACTGCACTTTATACCTAAAATATTTTTCATTCTGGGTTAAGTCTATCCTGATATGAAATTACTTTCTGCCTTAATTGTACATTAAGTGATCATTGGTCATTTTTTTCTTTGACAAAAAAAGAGGAGGAATGATTATTTAATTTTAGCTTTGAAACAAAGCAGGTTTGAAGGTTGTTTTTCTTGATGTAGTGCTTAATCAGCAACTGAGTGTGTGTGGACTCCAGAGACAAAAGCCACAGTAAGTAAAAGCCTGGTTTGTTTTTGAAGTCAGTGAGAATCAATCCATTAACTTCAGAAGTCTTGAGGTCTTACGCTGGGATAGCAAGCTAGCAAAGCGTATTGTAACTATGGTTGGAAGGTGTCGTTCTAGCCAGTAGTCCGCCTTTCAAAATGGACAGCTTATATCACTGCTTTTAGATACTTCTTTTACTGGCTCTTAAAATGTTTTGTACGTATATAATGCAATCCAGTCCTGCTTTAGAGTTCATCTCAGTGTGGTTTCAAAGATAGTAAGAGAGCCTTGCAGAACATGGGTCTTCTAATTGCTTTCCATTCAGCAGCGGCATGGAGTTAAGTCTCACTGTCCTATGCAAACTGTGTTTTTAAGTTCCTTGACTCCTGTGGAAAGTGCGGTGCTCCCATTTCCTGAAGTAGAAAAGACATCAGTTAAGTTTTGTTTTGGAAGTGTACTTAGATAGACCGTTCCCCTTGCATAGCTTCCATCTCTGAGTAAAGGAGCAATCGCTCTCTGTGTTATTTAAGAAAAACCCAAAAAACCCCAAAGTTGTGAAGAGCGAGTGGGGGGAGAAGACTTGCATAATTTGACACTATAGATAAAATCACTTTCTGAACCTCAGGAAAGTCCCAACATCCAAATTCAGAAGAATGTTCAGAGACAGAAACTGGTTCTCAGGTAATGAGTACAGTTTGTCTCCTTACTACAAATATAACAGTTAAGGAGATAAATTAAAGGTCTCAGAACTAAACATTTAGTGAAAGTTGAACTGTTTTGGAACAGACAGGCAAAACTGTTTTGGGGAAGCTGTGTTACAAAACAGTTCCCTTCTGCTGAGGTACAAGTATTTCACATGTTTTTTCCGTTCGGAATAGGTTCTGTTTCCAGTGAAGAGGAAATGATTTTCCATTGCCCCCCTCTTCCATGCCCTGCCTTCACCATCTAGATTGTAAAGTTCAGGTGGCGATTTGGATGGATTTGAGAGATTTGCTTAGTCATACAGAATTATTTTACCTGAGAGACTTACACAGCTCAAGGGTTATTATTAGTAGCTATAATAACAATCACCTCTTATGTACTGCTTTTCATTCACGTGTCTCAGAGTGCATGACAAAGAAGGGTCAATATCTGCTTCATAGAAGGAGAAACTAAAGCACAGGCAGGTAAAGTGATTTGATTGTGGTTTAACACCTGGGGTGTCACAACCAAGGAAAGAAGTTGGAAGTAAACCACAGAGACTTTCAACACTGTTTCGTGCTACTGAGTTCATGCTACCTAACAGCTTTCTGGAGACCTGTGCTGAGGAACGTTGCTAGCTGTGGTCTGTTCTCTTCTTAAAGATGTCTGCCACAAAAGGGGCTGCTGGCATTTTCCTGGCAGATCACAGACTGGTTTTTCCATCTGTATAGGCTGACGCTTTCCAGGTTAGCCTCCATGAAGGCATGAGGATGACATAGTTGTGAGCAGCTATTGTGTAAAGCCCATTTTCTGCATAAGTGGAGGACTCATTTACATTCAGCACTTTGATCTCATCAAACTCTAGCAGTGTTTCTGCCTCCAATCCGAGGGTCTCATTGGGACATGAGGGACACAGTCACACAAGAAATATCATATAAGAAGGGGGAAAATGTCACTTGCATCTAAGTGACAGTTTCATATCTGAAGTGTTAAACCACTGTTCCTAGTTGCCGCTAAAGCCTCAGAGGAGAAGTTAGCAAATATATAAATCAGCCAATCCATTTTCATCCTTTGAGAATCTGTGCCCTTGGAGACTCTGCCGTGACTCTCTGTTCTAGCATTGCATTTCACATTAATTTGAAAGAACCCTCAAGTCTGCTTTGTAGATTTTGTAACTCCAATTGTCTCTTACTGCTGCTCTGCTAGAGAGAGAGGAGGGAACTTGGACTGGCACAGATGCTATCCTGTGCTGGTGATTCTAAAAAGCTAGCTTGTCTGTATCCGTATATAACACCATGCAGACTGCAGTGCTTTCGGTTGCTCTGCAGCTGCTGGTTTGACACATACATAATTTTAATTCACGGTGGTTTTGACGAATTTAAAGGGATTTTTAAAATACATGTCCCTTTCCGAAATTAGATGATGATTTTGCAGTCAAATCAAGTTTAAAAGGTATCAGCGAGTGCTGAGCAGAAACTGTGTAATGCATCACCTGTGTGTAATTTACTAGAAGGCTTCAAAATGTCAAGATTCATCTTTAGATAGAGTATGTAGCCTTAGTTACACTGTCTTTTAGGGATGCCGTGTCAGTTTTGGACAGTAGCGCAATAAAACCAGAAACCATCCTTAACTTGACCTGATGAGTTACTGAATTGGAGAGCTTGTCCAGATTTTTCCAGATGTATCAATCTAATAAAACTTGTCACTTCTGCTGACAAATTTTGCCTCTCTCTAATCCTAAATTGTAATAGCTACAACAGTAACGTAAATCTAAGCCATACAAGACCTGTAAATGCATACTTGGGGTAAGGAGGTGAATGAAAGAGGTATCATTCTCAAAATGGCTATTAACTGAGGAGAGGGTTCAGAGTGGTTTTCCGTATCTTGGAGGAAGTGTGTTGCATAGAAGGCAGTTCTTCCTGCTGTTCTTAGCAGGAAGCTATTCTGGGTTTTGGCATCTGCCAAGAGAGAGAATTTTAGCAAAAGTAAGAATTCTTGCTTAAAACACAGTATGTGAACATAGAGCAAAAGCAAAACCGCAGTCTGATGTGGGTAGTTTGAACAGCTAATAGTATTCTAACAAAATCAAAAGGAATCAAAAGGAAAAAAATAGGTCTTGTGGTTTTTGCTAAATCTCTGAAAGAAGTTGTATTTAATTAATTCCTAAGCTTATTAACAGATTTACTTTTCAAATTCTCTGAAAATTACTGCTGTTCTCAGGAAGTACAGTAATTGTGCAGAGAACATGTTATTATTCATTGCTTAAGGAAACCTAGCAACCTTTGCTTTATGAGCAAAGCTAAACTTGTTTTCAAAAGAGCTGATACGGTGGTAACAGATGGTAGAAGGAGCAGTTGCTCTTCACAGCAGAACTCCATCGAAGCAGAGTTTTTACTATTTGCTACTCTCGAGGTGCCTGCTTTGTAAAATGAGGGTACC